CGAATATTTACTTAGTTAGTTATCAACTTTATAACTCCCTCACATAAAAAACATTGTGTATTTTTATATATTTAAAAACAAAAACAACTTTAACTACTAATTGTTTTTTCTATTTTTTTGTTTGTTATTTTCTTCATAAATATATGCTAATGTTATTTTTTTCTTTTAATTTATTAAAAAAGTGTTGAAATAAATTCATCTCTTTTATTTTATTAAATGATCCAGCCTAATTGTGCTGGATTCTCTTTAACTTTATCAAATTGCTATCTTTAGATCAGGCATTGGGTGGGAGAGACCACTGATCTCTTTCACTAGTTTGAGTACTTTCTGAGCTCTGAGAGTAAGTTCTATAACTTTATCAATTTCCTATCTTTAGATCAGGCATCGGAACGGAGAGACCACTGATCTCTTTCACTAGTTTGGCTACCTTTCTCAGCTTACGTACGGCTGAGAGCAAGCTCTATAACTTTATCAATTTCCTATCTTTAGATCTGGCATTGGTGGGGGGAGAGACTACTGATATCTTTCACTAATTTGAGCTTTTGTACGCCTGAGAGCAAGCTCTTTAACTTTATCAATTTCCTATCATTAGATCAGGCATCGGAACACTGATCGGTGCACTGATCTCTTTCACTAGTTTGGCTAACTTTCTCAGCTTACGTACGCCTGAGAGCAAGCTCTTTAACTTTATCAGTTTCCTATCTTTAGATCAGGCATTGGTGGGGGGAGAGACCACTGATCTCTTTCACTAGTTTGAGTACTTTCTGAGCTCTGAGAGTAAGCTCTTTAACTTTATCAATTTCCTATCATTAGATCAGGCATCGGAACGGAGAGACCACTGATCTCTTTCACAAGTTTGGCTAACTTTCTCAGCTTACGTACGCCTGAGAGCAAGCTCTTTAACTTTATCAGTTTCCTATCTTTAGATCATGCATTGGGATGGAGAGATAACTGATCTCTTTCACTAGTTTGGCTACTTTTCTCGGCTTAGGTACGCCTAAGAGCAAGCTCTTTAACTTTATCAATTTCCTATCTTTAGATCAGGTTTTGGGGGAGAGAGAGAACACTGAAAAGTACACTAATTTTGCTACTTTTCCCAGCTTAAGTAAGCCTGATAGCCAACTCTTTAACTTTATCAGTTTCCTATCTTTAAAACAGACATCGGCCGGAAGTACCAAATCATGTCACTCATTAGCCTTGTAGGTCTTAAACGCAACAATCGAAATTTTACGAAATCATTTTGAAGAAATTTCCATTTAGTTTTAAATGTTCCAACTCCGTAAAACCAAAACTCTTCCTCTCCCATTTAGTCTCTAAAGTCCTTTCTTCTTTCCTCAAATTTAAAAGTTTACAACATGGTAGACTTTCCGCCAGAATATTAAAGTATAATTCATTCTTTTAGGTTTGTTTAATAAAGAATTTCAAGAGATTATTTTAAAGCTTCTATAGAGTTTCGAAACCTCAAAACTAAACAATTTGTCAGAAGTGAGATATTAGGTGTTTAAGCTTCGAAACTTTGAAGATAAATGAGAAGAATAAAGTTCCAAAAAAAGTTCTAGCCTTTTTAGAAAAAATATTGTCCCTGGAGCAAGATCATTAAGCACTTACTTCCATAGATAAAAGTTACTTTTTCTTTTTAGGATTTTCCTAGAGATCCTAGCGATCATTGAGAGTCTTAAAGTTCAAAATGACCCAAAAAAGATCCAAACTTTCAAGTAAAATACTTATTTCCATAGATCAAAGTTACTTAAACACTTTCAAAAGAACTTTTTTGATTGGACCAAACAAATTTTCTCCCTTGGCTATCATTTGAGGAAATTTGGCTATTATTTGAAGAATCGTTCGCTTTCGAAAACTTAAAGACAAACGTTCTTTTTTAGGTGATATTAGCATTACGAAAGAACTCTATTTTTTGCGGAAGCCATTTGATGTCCTAGTAATGTTTGTTTCCTGACAGCGAACTGGTTTTAACACTTACAAAAGAACTTATTTCGTTTCACATTCCTCCAAGTACAAAGCATCTAAATCACTCACAAATTTGGGAGGCAAAGCAGACGATTACAGTTTAAACCAGCGATTTTGATTTAATTTGGTTAATGCTTCCAAATTAGAATGCAATTCCGAAACAAGTTGTCTAGTATTTTAACTCCAGCATTTACATATCATCTCTGAATTTGTTGACTTTGCAAGGCAACTGAGAAGTTTCAATACAAGCGCATTAAAAGCTCTCGAAAATGTTCGTGTTTGCGAAACCATAGCATATCATGTGAGATCTAATACCAAAATCTTTCGGAAAGCTTAATTTTGTAGAATTCCTTCTAGTAAACAGAAGATCTTCAAACGAAATTGGCTAAATAATCAAAGGAAATGCCACTGGAAGCTTCTTTCTGTTTGCTACACCAAAGAAAATCATGTAATGTCTGAAATTGCAACACTGCTAGTGGCTTCAATTGGAAATTCCTCCACTTTATACTTGGTGTTACCTTCATGGAATGAAGTACTGGGTTTGATTGCAAATTTCCTTTGGAGAGTTCGGAAAATTTTACATATGCTTGCGAAACCAAAAGAAATCATAAGAGAACTGGTATTCAAATACTCCATGTAACTTCATTTTATAAATCTCTTCATAGAAAGCATTCAAAAGAAATTCAAGCGATACCTATTCTATGGTTGCAGAAAGAGTACCATTACAATGTTCTTAAAAAGCAGTTTTTACGATACCAAAGAATACCATGTAGAGTCTGAAATTACAACTCTCTTAGCAGCTTCAATTAGAAAATTCTTCGAACTTATGCAACAGTTAACTCTTTGGTGCTACTTCATAACATAATTTTAGATTGAAGTGTAGTTTTGAGTGCAAATTTCCTTTAGAAAGTTCCGAAAACTTTGCTTGTGGTTGCGAAACCAAGGAAATCATATATCATGTAGCTTCATTTTATAACTCTTTTCCTAGAAATCACTCTAAAGATCTCCAAGGGAAATCAACTTTGGTTCAAGATTCAAATTCCGCCACAATCTTCTTAAATAGCTTGGTTTGCGAAACGAAACTTTTGTAAAGTTCGAAATTTCAACTTTCCTAGTAACTTTAATTCGAAATTCTTCAACTGCCTTCATTCCATCATTTTGGATTGAAGTACTTTGGTTGATTAGAAATTTCCTTAAGGATATTGCATCGAATCTGATATTAAAACTCCTTGTTTAGCTTCAGTTTGCAATATTCATCGTAGAAAACATACGGAAGATCTCCATTATTTCCTTCTTAAAAAGTTGCTTCAATTCTAGCTTCAAATTCCACTACAATCTTCTTTAATAGTAGTGTTTGCGACACCAACGGAAATTATGTAAAGTCTGAAATTGAATCTCTCTTAGTGACTTCAATTCTAACGTTTCCCGTCTTTATTTCCATCTGAACTTCTCAAATGACAAGTGAAGTCTAAGTAGTTTAAGATTTATCAGCCAAATGTTCTCGTATTCCCAAACTTATGGAACTAGTACCTTAACTAAGCCCGATATGTGGGAGCAACCAATTAAGCGTCGGTAATGTTAAACTCTCAAAAACTGTTAAGGGTTTAAATTTCAAAATGAGGTTGGTTTTGTTCTAAAATGAAGCAGCTTCCATTTAGTCATATTTTTGGGATTGCAAAGTAGTAGAGATGTTAGAAGTTTTCCCTTTTGGTAAGTTCACAACGCGATGCACTACCGAATCGAAGGAAATCATTGGAAATATGTCCATTTTTTGTCCACGAGTTTTTAATGAAAAGATTTGGAAAGTTATGAGTTATGACTCGGTTAGCTGAGAATCTTTTAAGAAAGAATATATTGTAGAAATCAATAACTGAAAGTTTACAATTTCCGCTAAAGAGTTGTTTTAACGAACCGTAGGAAATCATTGGAAATTTCTCCATTTGCAATCCTCGAGTTTGTAGTGAAAATATTGGGAAAGTTATGAGTTATGCGTCGGATAGTTAAGAACCTCATAAGAAAGGAAATGCTATCGGTGACTGAAACCAAAAGCAATACTTCTTCCTAAATTTTGAAAAACTTAGTTCAGATTATGGTTCTAATTTGTTTTCCTGATCATTTCTAAAGTCTGGAAAGCAGAAGTTTGGAAAGCAATTGATTTGTATCGCAAACAAGTGGTTATTTTCAACAGCTTTAGAAAGCAGAAGTTTGGAATGCAATCGGTTATGTGTCGAAACCAAGTGTTTTTTTTTTCAGCAGAAAAATTGGAATTTAAGGAATGAAACCTTATTGATTTCTTACTTATTTCCGATGAAGAGCATTACTATGGCCGATAGTAACAAAGACTTCCATTAGTCTTATATCTTAACAATCGTTTCGATATAGCGACGGCTTTTACACTCCAGAACATTCTAGAATTTCTTTGACATTTTACAATTTCTTTAACAAAATGTTAAGGGTTCCATTAACACTTTTATAACACTAACCCATTTTTTTCAAAAACTCTTTGGAATTGTTACACTTTTAACAAAATCTTGTTTGAAATTTAAAAGATTTTTCCACTTTATACTAAAAGTTTAAGGTTAAGTTTTCAATTTTTCCCTATTGTTTTCAAAATAAAAACACATTTTGCTAATTAATTTTTAAATTTTAATATTTTTTGTTTATTATTCAGTTTCTTTTTTTCAAAAATTTTTGTTTTTAAATAATACTTTTTGTTTTTCAAATTGGAAGTTTTTTGTTTTTTTTTTTTTCAAATGAGAAGGAAATATTTACAATTTTGTTGCCCCGTAAAGAGCAGATTAATGAATTTTTAAAGAAGAAAAATATAATAATAAAATTAAAATAAAGTTAAAAATAATAAAATTAAGATTATATAGAGATAGTTAGAGAGGGCGAAAAAAACAAAACAACAAACAATCTACTGATTTATAACTTATAAACTACAAATAGGTTTTAAACTTAAACTATTAAAAAAAATACTTAATGAATACATTTACAATACAATAGTTGTCATTTAAGTTAGTTTTTTTTTTTGGGGGGGGAGGGGGAGGAGAAACTATTAGCTATAAATTTCGCCTTAAAACGTTGTCAATTTGTATTGGTTAGAGGGGTGTAAAAGGTTTACAATTAATATAAAACGGGTACTGGTCTTCTTAAATTGTCCATTTGTGACTCCATGCCATTGGGAGTGCCATTGCCCGGCGATGAACCCGGTGAGGAGGTGGAGGAGGAATTATAAAGACCGGCGGCGGCTGCATTGGCGGAATGGGCGGCATATAGTGAGGGCGCTGAGATGCCGGAATAAATGCCGGAATAGAAACTGCTTAAGGTGGTGGGAGGTAGTTGTGGAGCCTTTTGGGCTTCATGTAGATTATGACTTTGATTTGTGGCGGCGGCGGCAGCAGCTGCTTGTGTCTGATGCAATTTAGATAAAGCTAAAGGATCGAAACCACCAAAATAGGGCACTGGATAGGGTTGATCCAGGTGGTGAGAGGGTGCAAAGTAGGGAGGCAATTGATGGAAGGGATTGTATGAACCAGAACCAGGAGCACCATTATTACCCAATTTCTGTTGGCCATTGGCTTGCATTTGTAAAGCTCCCTGAGGACCCTGGGCTAAAGGGTTTTTGGGCTTGCGACGTGGACGATATTTATAATCGGGATGTTCCTTCATGTGTAATGCTCTCAAACGTTTGGCCTCATCGATAAAGGGACGTTTGTCGGTTTCTGCCAAAAGTTTCCATTCGGCACCCAAACGTTTGGAGATTTCCGAATTATGCATTTTGGGATTATCTTTGGCAATTTGCCGGCGCTGTAAACGAGACCAAACCATAAAAGCATTCATGGGTCTTTTAATGTGACCCTCTTGGCCGGGAGAGGTAGGATGATGATGTCCCCCCACTTGACTGCCAGCATTATGTAAATTATTGACATGGGAATTAAGAGAACCCTGGCTGCCTATACTACCCGCTGAACCAATAGAAGAATTAGGCGATAAAGTCTGTTGACCCACGGTAGTTTGCATATGTTGATGGATATTATGTTGATGATGTTGCTGGGCAGACATATGACCCATGCTGGCGGTACCCATTATAGAATTACCATTAGTGGCACTGTGACCTCCCACGGGAGAACCACCCATGGCTGCTGATATGGCAGCCAAGCTGCCAGTTTGTGAGAAATGCATAACACGTTTTATATCCATATCGGAGGGACTGATGGTACTTTGAGGAGCATAATCTCCTGGTGTAGGCATATCTAAGCCCTGGCCCCCCAAATGAAATCCATAATTGGGATGTGATGATAAAGCGGCCATGTTTAAATATAAGCTAGCAATTGTAAGACTTTCTTTTAAACACTTTCTTAACTTTTGTTATAGTTTTTCTTAGCTTTTTTTTTTTGTTGAACAAACACTTTCAATTAATTGTATTATTTTGTTACAAATTTTGCAGTCTTTTTGTGAAAATTCTTTGCTTTTTTATTAATTGTTTCTTTTCATACGTTTATTTGTTAAAACTTTTTTTTTGTATGCTTTGTATTTTTATTCTTTTTAGCTCTTTAATACACTACTGTTCATCTCAACAGCTCTTTAATAACTGATGTAATCACACATTTACCAACTACCGACACGATTCAAACCAAATATACTTTTTGTGTATGAGTGTTAAAATTTACTCTCACTCTCTGGTAAATACTATTATTTGCTTTAATAATTCTCTCTTGTTTTGTGTTTTCTTCTTGAGCTCTGTATACATGTGCTGAATACAAATGCTGAATGGTGAGTGTTTAGTTTCTAACTATTGTCTACTCCCTATATATATTTTTTTCTTTTTGTTTAAGGTTCTAGCTTAAGCTAATAAGAGCGAAAGAGAGAGAGAGAGAGAGAACGAGTAACTAGTGTAGGCTAGAGTTGGGTAAGTGAAAAAACGAGATAGCTTGCTGGGTTGTTGTAGTTGTTAGGAAATGTTTTATGAGTCGTTTAATTTTACCTGGTGTGTGACCAGAGAATAGGTTTGTCTTTTATGATTGTTGTATTGTAGTTGTTGTAAAATTTATTACGCTACTACTACTACTACTAGTTGTTGTTGTTTTTGTTTTAAAGTAGTGTAGTCTTTCTTTTTTGCTCACATTGTTCCCCATCATTATCAGTTTTTTATAGTAAGCATGTCCTGTATGTGTGTTGTTGTTGTAAATGTTTTAAACGTTGTTGTAGTTGTAGTTTTTGTCTTGTATACCCACGTTGTTTTTGGTTGGTTTTTATATGCAGCCGTCGATCTTTGTTCAGTTTTTGTATTAAGGCTTTTGTGCGCATTGTACCCATCATCATTGAGAGGTGTGTTTAATACAATGGCAGCATTGCTTGTTGTTGTAGTAGTTGTTGTTGCTGTTGTTGCTAACGAAGAAAAGAGTAAAATGGCATTGAGTTGTTTTTGTATACTCTCACACACACTGAAAATGTTGAGCTTCAATTGTTATTTATACGTTTTGTTAGGTTTATTATACTTAAACAAGGCAAAACAACAACAACAACAACAACAACAGAAATAAAGCAAAACATACAAGCCCGCCAGCCAGCCCCACTCACACTCACTCTCTTCTTTTTTGGTTAAAAAATGTTATAAATGCATAATAAAAGCCTAGAATTAAAACGTTTCTAAAATTAAACTTTTTTTCCTGCAAACTTTTTTTTAGAAACAAATGTTTTGTTTCTATTCTATTTTATATTTATTGTTGGCTACGCATTGTTGCCAACTTTTTTTGTTGTTTGTTTATTATAAGGCGCATACAACACTCATTTATACATTCTTCTGTCATTCTCTTATTTGTTCTTCTTACTCTATTATTAATATTATTATCATGTTGTTGTGTTGTGTTGCAAATCTGAGAGTATGAGTGGTACAACTGCATAAAAATGCATGAGTACATGTTGTTTGTTGTTGTTTTAATGCTAATAGCTTTTGTTTGTTTGTAACAAGAGTGTGTTGGCGTTTTTCTCCATTGTTTACCTTGTAATTGTATAATATCTTCTCCCCTTATTTACTCCTAGTTTTAGCTAAACAATACATTAACAGTTATACACACACGTACACTCACATACTTTTACATTAAATCCAAGTTTCTATTGTTTGGCGTAATAAAAAGTTTAGTTTTTTTTGCCTGTAAGCTTTTGTTTGTACTGAATGTAAAGTTTTGTTTGCGAATTGCGTATTGTGTGAGAGAGGGAGCTATAGGTAAAGTGTGAAAGAGAATGAGTATTTGCAAAAAAACAATGTTGCCATAAATCTCCAAAAATAGGGCACTGGATAAGTTTTATTCAAATGATAAGACGGTGTAAAGTTAGTTGCTAACCTCTCGAACGTGCCTGATTCTAATGTTGCATTAGTAACTAGATTTCCATCGTCTCCTTGAGTTATCGAAACCTTCAAAATAGGGCAGTGGATAAGGTTTATCAAAGTGATGAGATGGCTTAAGGTAGGGAGGCAATTGAAGGAAGGGATTGCAAGAATCAGGACACCGAAACCTGCACTGGATAAAGTTTGTCAAAGTCCTGAGATGGCTTAAAGTATGGAGCCAATAGAAGGTAGGGATTGTAAGAACCAGGACAACCTTTATTAGCCAATTTCTGTTTGCCATCAGTTTGCATTCGCAGAGTAACACGAGGACCAAAGTGTGATTCTAATGTTAGCTTGAGTTGCCGATGCCTCTAAAATAGAGCACTGGACAAAGTTTATCCAAATGATGGGACGGTGCAAAGTAGGGAGGCAATTGATGGAAGGGTTTTTAAGAATCAGAAGCATCTTTATTATCCACTTTAAAGGCTTATATTCCCAAAGCAATTTGGGAATCTCAATCTAAAGGATTTTTCTGTTTGCGAAGTGAACATTTGCAATCAGCACGTTTCCTTTGTGCTAATCATATCCATTCGGTAACCAAACGTTTAAAACATCTCACAATTATGGATTTTGGGATTATCTTTGTCGAACTGCATTATGAACGAGTTATCAGATCACCGATCAAATTAACCTGACAAAAAGGCCTTAAACTCGGTTTAGACACGTTGGATATTGAACACCTTAAAGCAAATACTCGTTTCCAAATCCGATGTTAGAAAAAAGGGAGTGAACTAATGATCGTCGAAAAAAGGAACACGATGAACACTTTGAATGAATCGTTAACAATCTACTTATTCCATCTTAAAGCAAATACTCGTTTCCAAATTCCATGTTGGAAAAGAACATGATTAGTACTATGTATCAATCGTTAACAATCTCCTTAATCCATGATCGATTCCAGAAACATTCTTCGGTGTTCATCTAAACTCTCTCAAACGCTCAAACGATATTTTCTAATGTTTCGTAAACACTCTCCTTAAGTATCAATGCTTGAGATAAGTGAAACATGAGGATTGGGGAGACAATTTGGCGTATAAACTCTGCATCTCGAAATGTTTAATATTTATCTCTGAAGCTGAAATTGAAGTTTCTAGACTCTCAGTAACATTAACAATTTGACGAGAAACGTATTAATTTATAAAATTAGTGATTTTCTAAAGATGTTTTTAAAACATTCGAAACATTCAATAATCACGTTTCTGATGAAACTGATGACCGATTAGAAAGCATTTGAGTTTAATTCTTTATTCAATGAAAACTGATCACTTTTCCCAATATTCTCTCGAACTTTCCGTAATCCAGTCTAGGTAATTTGTAAGTATTATTAATAAGATAACGGACGACAGAGCCATGCATTGCTTTCATCTACATTCATTTTCGATTTTCAAGATCGATAGATAAACTTCAGTTCTTTTGTTGAAGTTCTCTGCTTTTACAAATTGCCTTCTGTTCCATGAAGAGTGGTCTTCTCTTTATTGAAATTCTCTCAAACTTTCTAGTTCCTAATGATCCCAAATTTATGCTTATCTTAATTATCTTTTAAACATCGACAACTCTCAACTTGTTTTCTCTTTTCTGCTTTTAAAACTTGTCTCCTATCCGATGAACAGTGATCTTCATTCTCTCTTTCAGGATTCTAATGATCCCGATTTGATAGGCAACTTTCAACTTGTATCCTATCCGATGAAAAATTATCGATCTTCTTATCAACATTCTTTCGCATTTCCTGAAACTCAATCACTCAATCAATATGAATGATATTTGTTTTGGTCCCGCGACTTACAGCCTTCTTCAACTTATCCTGTCTCCTGTCAGATGAAAAGTGATCTTCTTTCCTGAAACTCTGTCGAACTTTTCAGATTCTAATGATCACGTTTTAATGTTTATCTTATGCTTCTTATTAAAGATCCTCAGCTTTCAATTTCTTTGCTTTTTCAATATGCCGCCTTTCCGATGAAGAGTGATCTTCTTTCCCAACATTCTTTCGCATTTTCTGAAACTCAAGGACGAGAATATGAATCATTATTGTTTTGGTAACAAAACTTAAGGCTTTCATCAACTTTTGTGCTCTTCAAACTTGTCTTCTCTTTGCTGAAGGTGTGATCTTCTCTCCCGACATTCTCTCGAACTTTTAAGACTCTAATGATCCCGCTTAGATGTTTATCTTATGCTTCTTATTAAAGATCGACAACTTTCCATTTCTCTGCATTTTCAATTTGCCGCATTTCCGACGAAGAACGAAGAAATTCTCTCGAGTTTTCCAGATACCAATGATCTTGATTTAATGTTTATCTTATGAATCTTATTCAAGATCGACAACTTTCAATTTCTCTGCTTTTTCAATTTGCCGCCTTTCCGATGAAAGGTGATCTTCTCTCCCAACATTCTCTCGAACTTTCTGAAACTCAAGGACGAGAATATGAAAGACTTGTCTCCTGTTTGATGAAGGACGATCTACTTTCCCTACATTCTCTCAAACTTTTCCGATTCTAATCATCACGATTTGATGTTTATTAAAGATCAGAAATTTTTATAGTCTGATGTTTCAATTTGTCTTCTGCCTGATGAAGAATGATCTTATTTCTTCTAAACTTTCTGCATGAGAAATTCTTGAAGTTTTCCACTTTTTACACTTGTCTCCTGTCCGATGAAGAATGATCGGTCTTGCTCCCCAACATTCTATCGAACTTTCTGATTCCCAAGTATGAGTCACAGGGTTACACATTCAAATTTGATTTTGAGGATCAAATAAACGATCTTAGTTTGATGTTTGCGATCAATAGACTTCCGTTCTTGAGTTACTATAACATTTTACAACTTTTATGTTATAAACTAGACATTTTTGGCGCTTTTTTTCGCTATCCCCATTATTAAAACATTAACAAGTGTGTCTGGCAGCCTTGTTGGAGCAGCATATATGTTTATAGATCTGAGAGTATCAGTATATTTAAGATTTTCACTTGCCTTAAAAATTTACTCGCATTTAGTTTTGATTTTGTTGTTTTTGTCTAAATGTTTGGGTTGGTTGGCTGACTATTGTTTTTGTTTATTATACGAATAGAGGTAGCTGTGTAGTAGTAGTAGTAAAACCATTAGTTGTTGTAGTAGTTACTATTTTATATTGGTATGTTTTATATATTTGTACTATATTTTGTTTTTGGTATTTCCTCTTATTTTTTTACTACGGCTGATATTTTTGTTTGTCAACATTTCGTTCATCTTGGAAATGTTATTGTGTTGCCATTGGCGTTATTGCTGCACTCTTTGGCAGTGTGCGAATATTGTGAGTAAGTGTACTATGTCTATGTGTGTGTGTGTGGCTATACTGTGTAGCAAAACAAAAAAAGCTATTGAGCCAATCACAATGGCTGTAT